CCCTCAACCTCAGAAGTCATCAAGTCTCTTTCTCTCTCGTTGTTTGTGTCTGAGTCCAAGGTAAGACTTCTGCCCAAGTAAGTGGATGGGTTTCTCTTTGAATGCCAATTTCTTCTTTTTTTTGGTCATTGAATGCCAATTTCTTCTGAAAATCATATTCGTACATACACATACATACATATATATTGTGTGTGTGTGTGTGTTTGTAGAGCCGCCCTTTGCTGTTAAGTTATTATTGTTGGTTATAACGTATCAGTTGTTAAGGGTTCGTGATGTTTCTGGCTTTGAACTTTGCATTTCTTTTATTTCAAGTTCTGTTACTTATTTTATTTCAGTTTTTTTGTGGGTAATTGATGAGAAGTGTGTAGTTAATTAGGGGTGATTTTGAAGAAGTGGGGAGAAAGATATTTTTGGATTTCTTTCCACAATTTGATGAATCCTTGCTTTGAGCGGAATTTTGTATCTTTTGCCCAATATGAAAACTTCCAGTATTTGTGGTGATTTTTTTCGGGAGGTGGATTTATGATGGTTTTGTTCGTGGGGGAAGTTCAGGATTAGGAAATTCTGATGCGGGTGTAATGTCAATTGTATCTGGAACAATTAGGAATCAAGAAAATCTGATTGTTGATTTTGAGCAAAATAAATAGTGAATTTTTTGGGTTCTTTCAGATGGTTCGGCAATTTTGGATTATAAGAGATAAATACAGGCTACATCAGTTGGAGATATGGTATGCTTACCGAATAAAGGACTGTTGTCACAACTCATCCACCATTGCAGCTTTCAAACCCTTCATAGATGCCTGTTTTCCTTTGAGTTGTGACTCTCTTTTGATAAATTTAGGGAAAAGTTGCAATAGGGTTATCAGGAATAAAACTGCTTGTAGATTCCTCAATCAATAGAAACCATATTGGCAGATTGCAGCAAAAGAATTCATAGGTTAGTTCAGAACGATTTATAGATTAACTGGACCTTCTTGTATTTAGCACAGAGTTACCAGAAATTGATAAACCTCTAACGACCAAATGGGGTGGGTTCGCGATCCAAATCCCTTAAATGTTCGACCTCAAATTATAATATTAATCCTAAATCATTTGCTTTGAAACATGTATCACAAGTATAAAATGAATATTAATTGACTTAGTGTGTGTGGATATAAAATTTTATACAATAGGAATTCGGGCACTAATGTAAACTAAATAGTTATGGACTATGTTTATGGATGTATTATTATATATGATTTTGTATAGTAGTGAAAGAGATCAATACAAGAGAGTCAAAATGAATTGCTATAAAACCTATCACGTATTCAATATCAAGTATCAAATTGATTCACGATTTGGGTAACATTGATTTAGTCTAACAAGAAGTTTATTGGTTTATGATATAGTGTTGTTGCATGGTTGCAATACTCTGCGAATCAAATTGTTGCGTATAATTCGTAAAATGTGCTTACGTTTTTGAATCTTCAATTGACAAATTGTTACTTTGCAGGGTTTCATTGATCGTGAAATCCAAAGTTTTACTTGGTCACTTCGTGTGATGGTCGATGGTATGGGAGATGAACAATCTTGCTCCAAACCCCTTCAAAGGCGCTCTATCTTATATTATGGTGTGGGACACATGCTCAATGACATAACATCAGCCTGTTGGTTTACTTATCTCTTAGTGTTCTTGACGGATATCGGACTGGCCCCCAGGTTCATTCTTATTACTTGATATCTAATTTGGTGTTATTTATAGCTTTCTTTTGAATTTATTAGTTCCTTTTCTATTGTTGTATAATTTGAATCTGAATGTGAAAGTTTTCACAAGAATAAAGATATATGAATAGAAATTATGGTTTGTTGCTTTCGTAAATAAGGTTGCATTAGGAAATATGATAGACATTTAAGCAACAATGTGAAGAGATTACATAGCAATGTCTTTGGTGCAAAATGAATGGCAATGAGAACAAAAAGATAAAAAATGAATGGGGTGTTTTTTAGATGTCTTGGCTCCCACTATGAACTATTTGTAACTATGCTAATAAATGCCATCCTTGGAAGTTGGAACTGCGTTTTAGCAATCCTAATTACTTTGTCATAAAATGGAGTCATCCATTCAGAGTTAGGCTATCTTCAATGCTAATAGATGACCACTTTGCAATGTTGATTCAGCAGAAGTTTTCATTAAATTTTCTATCGGGTTATGTAACAATATGATTGGAGGACACTTTAACGCAGTAAGGCCTAGGATGTAGTCGGTTGAAATTTGTGGTATTTCTAGAATGACTGTCTTTTAGTGGATTCAAGTAGGGCATACCTCCAATATATTAGGTGGCTGACTTCTCACATTAAGGTGCAATATTGGGTATTAGCCTTTTGGCTTCAAGTCAACTGAATCCATGGCATATTGCCTCTGAAGGTCATAACAGGAGCGTGCACTACTGGGGCCTTTGGGCGATGCTTCATGCATCGCTAGCCTGGGGAGAAAAAAAAAGAAAAAAAAAGGAAGGTGCAATAGTAGGTGCTGTGGTTCTACTTTCTGGGGCTTCCAATCTACATTAGTTAGGATGGCTAAACAGCCTTGCTTAGAAGTCATCTTCAAGCTTTGACATGTCAGCTGTACTCAATTTAGGTGCAATATTGCCATTTAAAAATTTATGCTATGGATGGAACCTACAGCAAGGTTCAGGAGACATTGGATGCACAATTTGGTAGGGTTGAAGTTTTGCAGCTGTTATCATGCCATTGCAGGCATGGATTTAAGCTTTGATAATTCGTGAGCGCTGCAACTCTATAATATTGATTGATACCGTCAGTCCACTTGTTACAAAAGGCGAACATCTCCATTTCAAAATATTCACATCCGTCGTCAGGCAGACATAAAAAAAGCGACGAAAAGAGTATTTACCTTTTTAATATTCCGAAATTCATGGCTCTAGCTATTCATGTTCAAGATATGAGAGTTTTCTTGTCACCTCTAACTTCAATGCACATTAACTTGTTTCATGGTCCTCATATTCAAACAATTTTCCTCCCCACTAGAGTGCAGGCACTCTCTCTCCCATAAGGAAAAAAATACTGGAGTGGTTTGCTCTTCCTTACATGCTTCAACATCCGCTATCCCATCATGGTTGAAGGTAGAACCTTTTTGAGTGTATTAGAACTTCATCTGTGATTTATGGGCAAGAAAAATGCCAATAGGATCAAATGTCTTGCAAAATGATAGAATTATATATTGGTGATGAATTTAGATCTTCATATTCTGAAAAATTAAACAATTNCACTAGAGTGCAGGCACTCTCTCTCCCATAAGGAAAAAAATACTGGTGTGGTTTGCTCTTCCTTACATGCTTCAACATCCGCTATCCCATCATGGTTGAAGGTAGAACCTTTTTGAGTGTATTAGAACTTCATCTGTGATTTATGGGCAAGAAAAATGCCAATAGGATCAAATGTCTTGCAAAATGATAGAATTATATATTGGTGATGAATTTAGATCTTCATATTCTGAAAAATTAAACAATTTTTGCTCATAAGTTATTTTCTTATTTTAGCGCACTTCCGACTAACATTTTCATTTAGTGTTGATCTTGTTGGGTATTATAACTTGTCTATTTGCAGAACGGACTCTCANCAATGTCTTGCAAAATGATAGAATTATATATTGGTGATGAATTTAGATCTTCATATTCTGAAAAATTAAACAAATTTTTGCTCATAAGTTATTTTCTTATTTTAGCGCACTTCCGACTAACATTTTCATTTAGTGTTGATCTTGTTGGGTATTATAACTTGTCTATTTGCAGAACGGACTCTCACAATCCCAGGTTTATGTTGTTGGGTCTTTTTCTGTAATAAACTATCGCAGTTTATTGGTTTATGTGACAACTGAAAGTCCAGTTGTCCAACAGGCCAAGGGTCCCTGAGCAAGGGTGAGATGAGAAAGTTACTGAGGTACTTGGTCCATGAACTTGTCCCACATTGTCCGGCTAGAAAAGGTTGTTGTGCTATATTTTTGAAAGTTTTAACGACAACTCCATATAGACAATATGTATGCAATTGCGATGGGATGTTATAGGTGGTATCAGATCCCAACGTACTTCGTGGTGGTGGGGTGGGCCCCAGAGAGAGATGTGCTTGGACAGTTCCCATGGGGAAACGTGCTTGGGGACTAGTTAGGACGGGCTCTCAATAGGGTGACATGCTCAGGTGGGTCCCATATGGGACCAGCTTGAGGAGTTTGAGCAGGTCCACACAGGGACGTATGGCCTTTAAGGGGTGGATTGTGACAGGTGAAAGTCCGTCCGTCCAAGAGGTCTTGGGAGGGAGTGAGGTCTCTATGCTTTATATGCAAAAGCGCTGTTATTTGAAAGTCATGAGAGGCAACCCAAAATAGACAATATCACATGCAGTTGGGCTGAGACATTATAGTATAATGATGTCAGTTTTCATTGACGAATTTTAATGTTTCTGTAGTTACAATATTAATTTTGGTGGTTTTTTCTTATTTATATTTTTGGCCGACTGAAACTTCTACACCTCTTTGCCCTTCACTGATACTTGATTTTCAGCTTTTCTGATATGTTGCCGTATTTTAGATCTGCATATTGAGTTCTGTTTGTTGCCCTTTGTATTTCACAGCAATGCTGCTGCTGTCATGTTTTCTGGTCAGATAGCTGATGGATTTGCAACTATATTTGCTGGTGAACTGGTACCTTTAGAACCATATATGCTATTTATTCATTCATTTTATTTAGAAGCATTTTGACATATTTTGCATTTCTTGTTACATAGAAGAACCTTATTACGAGTCTTTCACTTAACCCCACTATATTTATGGTCGCAATAGTTCGTTGGTACGTAGACTGTCTGTTGTATTTCGTTTCTCTTGCAGACTTTTTATTTGTGCAATTGTATTGCTGTGTTCATGCTTCAGTGATTTGCTCAATTGTCAAACTGTCACAGAAGCATAAATGTTTTTAAGGTTAATTGTTTGGTAATTTTCTGTGAATTTCATTGTACAACAAAATAGGTAGTTTCAGCTTTAGTCTGGAGGAAATGGTCGATCTCATGTGACCAAAAGCTTGCATAGTAGAGTATTTATTTCAATTTGTCCTTTCAATCTTGCAACAACCAAACAGAATGAAACTTCTTTCAATTGACAATTTTGTCCATTAGTGTATCCCACTCTAATGTTTCCAGCCATTCCAATTGCTATCTGAGTATTCTGAGACATGAAACAAATCTAAGAATGCTCGCTACTCAATACTGGTTTTACCCATGCAGGGGTTGAGGGATGGACTAGAAGAAGACCAAACCAAACTAAATAGACCATTGATAGGTGTTTTGTCCCCCAATGTGAGGCTGTTACAGGGTGGATTGTATTCTCTCAAACTCGAACCCTATGTGATTATTCTTGGCAACCCAAGCTTCTGTTGCTATACCAAGCAATGGCACCCTGACACAGTTCTCTAACCCAGTTACTTGCTTCTTGATGTTCATATTATGTGGTGGAGGAAGGAGGGCATGAGACAATGCCAGGAGCAGATATTGGTTAACACTTGAGGTCTTTTACTAGAGGAGCACTTGTTTTGATTGATCAGAGCTTCACTTTAATTTATGTACATCTCTATTTACCTGGAATCAATGTTTCGTATTGTTTAATTATTTTTTCCTTGATTGCCAGTAAATGAGAGACATTTGTGTGATTGAACTAACTATGTATTCCTTCACCTGATAGATAGACAGGTTTGGACATTTCAAAATATGGCACGGTGCAGGATCTGCTGTGGTTGCCGTTTCATTTTCTTCTGTTTTTGGCGGTTGCCTACCTTGCAAAATTCTTGGCTCCAATTCATCATCTCTGCAAACAATTGGATATAGTACGTTTGCAGCTATCTTCAATATTGGCTGGGCTGCTACTCAAGTTTCACACATGTAATGATTTACTTTGTCCCATACTCTGTGCTATATATTTTTTAATATTAGGAGAAATAAGCAGACCGAGTAGTAATACTTTACTTATCAGTGGGGCTATTTTTTCTTGTGTCATTGATTTTTTTATGGTAGGAGCCATTGCATGATGCAGTGGTAAAAGCTTGGGCTAACAGCGCAGCCACTTTGTGCAAATGATGCTAAGTCTGGTTCTATATTTTGAATCCAATATAATTTTCCCACCACCGTAATTGACTAATATGGATTTTCTATGATGTTATTCAAACATTGTTCATGTGTACCGTTCTCAACGAAGATGCTGTTTTCTAGTGGTAATTTCAGTCAATGGAATACACATCCTTCTCCAGTTTTATCTGGCAGGGACTTCACCAAAGATTGAAATGACATTTCCAACAGTAGACAGATTATATTATTTTGCACTCGTGATTTAACGTGTCTTCATTATCAATCTTTTCTGCTTTTCATGCATCAATTTCAGTGTCAAAGAGTATCAGAGTATCTTCATTATTCAACTATGCAAACTTTAAGAGTTTTTGTTTGGATTTCTTTATTTCAGTGTCTTCATTATTCAACGTTATTTTTTTTCGTTTTGCACATTTAAGAGTTTTTCGTTTTGCAATCGAGATAAGTTGAATAACTGTGATTGGTATGTACACCAAGACATTGGTTCACCTATGGTTCACCCGTTTCCTCTGCAGCCTCCATCATAAACCTGAGACCAAAATACACTTATGTCTTATCGTCATGAATCAATAATTTATTATCTGTCCATTGCAGGTCTATGGTGAATTGCATCACACTGAATCCGACAAGCAGAGTAGTTTTGGCTAGCTGTCGCAATGCTTTCACAATGGTTAGAAATCTGAATATGAAACATATCACTATGTTACTCTCCTCTTCTGACCCATGACTTTTTGAAGGCTGCCAACCTCAGCTTATATGGAGTTGCTCTAATAATCTTCAATTTTAGCTCGTCAGAGATGCCAGTTGATGTTGAAAGTCAGGTATCTTGATCTGAATAACGTTCTCCTAGTGATTTAAGAATTTAATTTTGGGTGTGATCTTACTTTCTTCATGAATGAACAGTACCGATGGATAGCATATTCATCCATATTCATTGGATGTTGCTTTGTGGGCATATTTCATATCGGGACCAAGGAGCCAAGGTTTGCCCACCGCATTCTTATTTTTCCATGCAATTATTGAGATTGTGGTGTTAAAATTTGATTATCTGACCTATTATTGGTTTTAAGTAAGTTTTGACTTGATAACTGAGTCCATTTTCTTTTCCTACTTTGTTTGCTTAAAGAGGAGAAGCATTTTGTTCTCCATTGAGATCCAATGGTAAAGGAAATCATATTTTCTTGAAGTTAGGCCAGCAAAGAAAGTTGGGTGGTATTTCTGTTAAATCAATTGCTGAAAAACTTGCCGTGCCAAAAATGTAGCACCAACATACCTATTCTTGAATTTTCAATTATTTTTAAACTGTTATGGCGTTATGCACTTAATATCATGCATAAATCAATGGCTTTTCCATTTTTTGTCCACTCAGAAATCAATCCTGGTCCAGGCAGCTAGTTAAGGGGTGTGGGCACTTGATATCATGCATAATTGGTGGCTTTTGCCATTATTTTGTTCACTTAAATATTGATTTCTGCCATTCAGACAGCTACCTGATTACAGAAATCATCTACATTCTTGTGTAGATTGAAGCAGGTGGCTGACCACAAAACTTACACAAGAATCTCTTGGACTTACTGGTTTAAGAAAGTTCTATACTACCAAGTTTCTCTTGCATATGTGCTCACCAGACTAGTTACGAATGTGTCACAGGTCAGCGCTTAATTCTCTAAATGGAATATATTCCCTTACACAATCACAAATGATTCACAATTGAGAATATTCGGGCAACACCCTGATTTGCTCAAACTAACAGGGACATGCTTGATTGAGCTCTAGTTACAATACTCCCATTAGTTTCTACATCAAGATGGCTTATTTATTTCCTTTTGCTTCTCTTTAGTTTTTATTCTTTTCTTTGTCTCAGGCACTTCTTGCATTCTATGCCATTAACGATCTTAAGATGGGTCAATCTTCTAAAGCATTGGTATTTTCACTAACCTTGTTGACATTGAGTTTTTTAAGCATGCTGCCTCTATTGTGAGAAAATTTTAATGGTTGCATGTAATCACGGTTAACCCTTTTGGCTAGGTTCCTGCCATCATCTATATCTGCAGCTTCATTGTCTCCATCCTTCTTCAGGTCTCTTTTTATTTATTTATTTTTTTAAATATTCCTTTTTTAAAAATTTGTTTCTCCTATTCACGTTAAGGTATATACGTTATAGGAGATAACATGGACCGGCAAACTCCTGAAGGCCTTTTATTCTGCTGGAGGTGTTCTTTGGACATTTTGCGGTGCAGGGATCCTCTTTTTACCAAAAAGCATGAGTGCTTTCATGTACATTTTTTCAATATTTATTGGCATAGCAAATGCTCTAATGACGGTACGTTACAAAAACCGGTCTTGATATGTACTGAATTCTGTGCGGTGTAAAGGTCTATGTCACTTTGGTTCATTATGTCCATCTCAAGGCACGGTTCAACCAACCAACTTATGTCAAATATGGTTCTTACTAAAATTTGTAAAGTGGATGAAGTTTGAACAAGAGTATGTGCATGGTGACTGCTTTTGCAACAGTTATGACTTCGGAGATTCTCTTATTAAATTTTGTGATTTTTATTATGACAGTAGATATATTAACAAAGTCTAGAAATTGGGATAATGTTCTAGTTTTGTGCTGGAATTAACGTCTGGGTTAGGATCAAAATTAGCCACTCAGGTCAAGCGTCGTGCCTGTTATAAAAGATAGTGTTCTGTGGAGAACAGTCTAGTAACATATAAAGGAACTAAATTAAATATGAAGTGATTAAATTGGCACTAGGAAACTATGAATCATCTGTGTCTCCATGTGCTTGTTATTTACTTATTTAATCATGTTTTCATTAACCTTAGCTTACAGTTGCTGATTTGAAGTTTTTGGAGTAACAGGTGACTGGAGTGGGCATGCAAAGTGTTCTAGTTGGTGAAGATCTCAATGGCTGTGCTTTTGTTTATGGATCACTGAGTTTTTTGGACAAAGTCTTATGCGGGGTGGCATTATACATTATTGAGTCATATCAGAGTATGTCATGCTGCCATTTAATGTTTCACAAACTCAAAACTTCTGGGTTTAATACTGGGTGTGTGTTTCTGGACTGTTGTGGAGTTCTGTTGGAAACTGTATCTGCAATTCTTGACATATGTAGTCGTATCCAAAAACAACCTCCAAATGTGATTGACCAGATTAATCATACCATTTCATTGCTTATAGATTTTTCATTTTTGCTTTGGTGTTACCCACTTGAATGTGGGATTTTGTACATGAAGTTCTTTCTGCGTGCTGGGTCATGTTCAAAAAACTTGTTCGTTGGAAATTAGTTGTATGTCTTTTCATTTATTTGTTTCTACTAAACATGTAGTTATCTCATCCTGATGAGTTGATTTTTGGTTCATGAACCAAAATTTTTCACTTGACACGCTTCACTTTTGTGCAGGTTCCTCTACATACCTTGAGGGATGTAATTACAAGTTTCTTTGTTTTTCAGTCACAAGATTAGGATTGGGTCTCGTTCCAGCAGTTTGTTCACTTCTTGGCGTGGTGATTACTTCCACGATGAATCTCCACACTTCTACTTCAAAACCTTTAATGGAGCCCTTATTGGCATAGTTTACATAAGAAACTAATTTCTGTAGAATCAGCCCTTATATGACATAGCAATTGCCATTCTTCAGACACGTATCTAAAGCCAAGAGGTCTGGCCCTGTGACTTGTTTACTCGGCATAAGAGTAATAACAGGGGTGGAGACCTCCTGGTTAACCAAGTCAACTTAGAAAATATTCTGTGCCATGATTTTTTTTATTTTATTTTTTCAATATGAATGCTGGCACCCCTGCAGAAGTCTCTACAGCATACAATCTTAATATTGTATCTCATTTTCATACGTCTTTGTAGTATACACAAGTGTACACAATTTCGTAGATTTAAAGGAAAAGTTACGGTGTACATTTTAAATTTCAACTGATGTATGTATTTCAGCGATGGATTATCTTGGTTAGATTGTCTGCACAGAGAAAGTTCTTAAAGTTGTAGCTTGAATTTTCGAATTTCGCTGTTCATGGTTTAACTCAGGAACTAGACTGCTAATTTACCTTCAGTGTTTGTGACTTGTGAGTGAATTTTGCACCTGCTCTGTTAGTCCCGTCTCTAGATGTGCACAATCAATAAGAAATTCATTTTTTTCCAGATAAACTGCAGCTTGTGGTAGATGTTATTAGTATTACATTTAGCAGTGGCCAAATCTACTATTGAAACTATGTTATGCAACTCTGTAGTGTTTTAGGGCCAGCAGACTTTGTCCTACTGCCTTTGCACGCCTCTGTGACCATTTTGGGAGGCCTACTCTCGTAGAAACTATCTATTTGAGACTGTCCCTTGGCCCATATGTCCTGTCGTAACATTAGCTATTATAAACCAAAGATATTGATGATGAAAGGGTATCATCCGTAGGAGAATAGCAACAAAAGAGAAGAGTCCCTAGAGAAGATTTCCTCAAATCTTCTCAATGGAAAAAATGGTCCACCAGAGACATTTGAGCTATTGTACAAAAATACGTTCACTTACTTTTTGTAAGTCATCCCCAGAATAAGACATCCACTCCTCAGACACACCCCAAGCAAACCCACATACAACATTCAACTACTCCCCCCCAAACAAAAAAAATGTTGAGAATGTACATCACTTACCTCTTTCTCCTTACATAAATGTAGGCCACACCAACATCCAAAATGATGGCAAGGATACATATAAAATCAACATTAAGTCCGTCAATGAATCAAATTTTTATTTTGAATTTGATTCTAACCTGATTAGCGGGATATGTATTGATATTTTTAATTGATTATTCGAATCTGATATCTTATATTTCATGGATTCGGATTTGGATATACTTATATCCAATTCAAAATATTTATATATTTTTGTATAAATATTAAAGAAATTAAGTGATTATTTGAAAAGAATAAGTAAAAAATTAGATGTAATTTATTAAAATTTAGTTAAAACTAAGTTATTTGCATTGAATCGAATGGTTAACGGATTCAAATATGAATCACAAAAATAAAATCTGTCAGATTATCAGATTAGATTTGAATCAGTAAAAATCTGATCTAAATCCTATCCATAGACTGACATACATTGATACATACGAGTATCTAGGCAAAATTGGATCACCATTTAGGCCAACAGGAGATTTGCCCTAAATAAAAATGTAATTAAGGGTTTTATCTAATGGATTACTTAATTGCTTTATTACTAGTTGGTTTATAGGTTCGAACCTATGATAATCGCTTGCTCCAATAATGTTTTGTAGACGACGAACAAAGATGCAAACTATCAAAATATTCAATATAATAAATAAAGACAAAGAAGATAATCCAATTTGAAAACCACTAAAAAATATAGACACCTATGTCTTACTTTGATTTAGATTTCAAGTGAGGTTTCTGTATATCTAGAGAAGAGCATAAAGTGTGTGACTAGTGTCGATGATGATAAGGGTATTAAAATATGATATAATTTGTTAACACGATACAAAATTAAATGATTTAATTATTTTTTAAACCACCTGTTTAGTAAACGAGTAAATTCGATCCGGCATAATTAATAAACGAAACGGGTATGAGTGAAGTCAATTAAAAGAAATACACGACACTATTTATTTATATACTAGTTACACACGATTCATATCCCGATACAAATTCGATATGACAAAATTCGTTAAACACGAATTAATAAACGAATAGGGTATAAATAAAATATTTTTTAACACGATTCCCGTGGTGGTGAAATATAAAAAAGTTTTAGAAGAGAGGGAGAGAGGAATTTTTGTATCTTCTGAAAAATAACGATTGCAAGCTGAAGGTGTAATGCAATAAAACCATTAGTATTGGGGGGAGATTTTTTGATTTTTATAAAGTTGGGTAGGCAAAGGGCCATTAACCCTTAATTTTAACACGATCGATAAAAAGTAGATCGCCGGTTTACGAGGGCTTTCTCTCGCTCTGGCTAACCATCGTTCACTCGCACTCTTGCGGGCTCTCTCTCCCCTTCCTCTTTTTCCTATACACAGTGCCCACAATCTAGGGTTGGGGTTTCAAGATTCATACACCATTTTCTTGAATCGATTCAATACAGAGAGCGCTGTTGCATCAAACGAGAGCACGTACAATTATAGAAGAGGAAAACGATGAGTGTGGATCTGGTGGCTTCGAACACACATGGCAATCTGGACGAGCAGATTTCGCAGCTCATGCAGTGCAAACCCTTGTCCGAGCCCGAGGTATGGTCGGGATGTCTCCTTTCTCTGTGCACAGGATGTCTCCTCTCTCTGTGCGTGCATGTGTGTGTATTATCTTTATTTGTGTTGTTGTCAGGTTTAGTTCGTTTGAATTTACAGATCTCTCTAGATTATTGTTCCGAAATTATTCTTATTGAATCTCTTCAATTGCGTTATTTTGTTTGGATCTGGCTAATTTTGCTTCCGTACTTGCGTTCCTATTGGAAATGACAAAAACACACTCAAACAAAATACCCAATATCTATATGGAGGACTATTGAATATATTAGGCGATAGTGGACTTGAATTGTACTTGGTATTGGGGTTCTCGCCTAGATTTGTGTGGTGAAAGACCCGACAACTCAATTTGTTATTATTTAATTCTTGGGGTGTCCTGAGTTGATTATTGGGATAGTGATCTAGTCAGAAGTAGTTGTAAGAATAGTGTATGTTGTGGGANCACAACTCAATTTGTTATTATTTAATTCTTGGGGTGTCCTGAGTTTATTATTGGGATAGTGATCTAGTCAGAAGTAGTTGTAAGAATAGTGTATGTTGTGGGACGAGTTGGTGGGCTAAGTGAAGAAAATATTGCCTACTCATTTGTATTGTTGAAGTTTGTGGTTGTTGGTATATGCTATGGTGTGAAATTATAAATATGCATGAAAATATTGATGGTTATTAGCCAAAAGATTTTGGTTCCTTGCAGCAAATGGCATGCTTTCAATTTAACCTACATTTTTTGGTTTGGGTTTTCTAAATGCTCCATTGATAAGTAAAGAAAATATGTATTTGTAAATGCTTGCAGATTGTCACGAAAGAGTATAAATGAAAATCTCCCAATAAAAAGAACCTTTTTTGAAAGTGTCTGTCCAGACTTTGAAAATGGCATTGATTTACACTTGGAACACTACTATAAGTTGCACAAACAGAGGAAATAACAGCAGATATCGGCAGCTAACAACTGATTAATGAAAGAAAACACAACAGTTTGAAGGGACAAATGAATGATAAAGGTTTCTAGGTTTAAAGAGACTGAGAGAGGCATTAGTTTTGATATATTACAGATAGAATGAGTAAGCCGCTCTAATGACTTGATAAGAGGAGGACTTGTAAGGATACAAGAAGACTAGTGCTGCCTACTTACAAGAAAAGCTGATGGGGCAACATGGCAGAAACATGATTCTATCCAAACGAATACATGGCAATGTTGAATAAAGAACACAAAGCTACTACCAACATTACTAACAAAGTGTGACATACAACTAAATGTAGATTTGACCAAGACCATAAGGACTTCTTAGTGGGCCAGAACGGCCTTGTTAGGCTTCTTGGATGCTCTTGCATCATTAAGCTTGGAGACTCAGAGTGCTTCTGAGCTTACAAATCAATGATATAACCACATGGTTCCTGACAGTTATATTTCTTAGGGTTCAGACGGGGGCCTCTTTTTGTCCACTATCCGATTTTCCAGTAAATCACTCTAATTTTTGTTTAAAGAAAACCCCCCTTTTGTATTTTTATTTTTACTTTTATCCTCCCCTTTTTAAAGCGATGAAGTTTAGTTGGTATACTAATGATAACCTCATCAGACAGCATATATTTGTTATCCAGGAGGATAAATTTTGACTGTTTTTTAGATGTTTAATTGTAGCGAGCTAATCAAACATATATTATCATGCTGTCTTCGAATTGTTTTTTTGGAACAATGTTTGGTTATATTCTATTGCTACTAAAAAGGGTAAAAATGGATCTGATGATATATTTATTCCTGTGGATGTAGGTTAGGGGATTATGTGAGAAGGCTAAAGAGNTTTTTTTTTGGAACAATGTTTGGTTATATTCTATTGCTACTAAAAAGGGTAAAAATGGATCTTATGATATATTTATTCCTGTGGATGTAGGTTAGGGGATTATGTGAGAAGGCTAAAGAGATTTTAATGGAAGAAAGTAATGTTCAGGTATGAGGTTTAGTTCTTTTTGGGTTCTATTATTGCTATTTTTGTGGTCAAATATAATGAATGCAATATTAAACGTATGCTCCAATTTTTTTTGATCTTATACTATTTCACACACACACACACACACAGAACTTTTGAACAAATCCCCAATTCAAGGTCGGTAACCAGACTGAGTCTTAAGGTCGTCGGCTAATTTTTAGCTGTCCGCAGTAAAACAACTTGCAGTTCTACCATATATTGTTTTCAGTCTTTCTTTAATAGCCATCTACTGTTGTGTTTTTGAGAAAGGTTTTTTAGAACATTCTTCCCATCAATGTACTAGGAGATGAGAAGGATTATTGTCAAAGGAATAATTGTCTAAGGAATTCCTTCCAAAAATTTTACTGTTTCTTTACTGACAACTTCGGTTTTGTTGAATCACAAAGTTGAATTTGTTTCTTTTTCCCTGCATTGCAGCCTGTAAAGAGCCCTGTGACCATTTGTGGTGACATTCATGGGCAATTTCACGATCTAGCTGAACTTTTTCGGATTGGAGGNTACATATATGTGTAGATTATGCATAAAAAAAAGTACACATATGCATAAATTATACATAATAGTTCACAAAATATGAAATTTAAATTTATTNCAACTTGCAGTTCTACCATATATTGTTTTCAGTCTTTCTTTAATAGCCATCTACTGTTGTGTTTTTGAGAAAGGTTTTTTAGAACATTCTTCCCATCAATGTACTAGGAGATGAGAAGGATTATTGTCAAAGGAATAATTGTCTGAGGAATTCCTTCCAAAAATTTTACTGTTTCTTTACTGACAACTTCGGTTTTGTTGAATCACAAAGTTGAATTTGTTTCTTTTTCCCTGCATTGCAGCCTGTAAAGAGCCCTGTGACCATTTGTGGTGACATTCATGGGCAATTTCACGATCTAGCTGAACTTTTTCGGATTGGAGGGAAGGTATTTTTTTCCACTCTGACATTTGTTTTCTAATTTTTGTGTTTGAGCTGGGGAAAGTAAATTGTGAGACTGGCCGAGGAGTGACATTGAGGATTGAAGTGGTCTTATGCATAGTTGTTAGTATCGTACGATACGTCACGATATAGGGCTAAAACGATACGAATCGTAGTTTTGTATCGTTTTTGTATTGTATCGTCCGATACACGATACGTTTTTACGATACGATACGTGCAAAGACTATTTTTTTTTTTAATGGAACGACGTCGTCAGTGGCTAGGGTTTACAAAAAAAATAAAAATACCTCTTTTCCTTCTTCGTTGGTCCTGGGTGTTCGTTGNCATTGTATTGTCCGATACACGATACGTTTTTACGATACGATACGTGCAAAGACTATTTTTTTTTTAATGGAACGACGTCGTCAGTGGCTAGGGTTTACAAAAAAAATAAAAATACCTCTTTTCCTTCTTCGTTGGTCCTGGGTGTTCGTTGGTTTGGTCTTCGACTCATGGCCTGGGTGTTCGCCGGTCTGGTTGTCGACTCCTGGCTTGGGTGTTCGCTGGTCTGGTCTTCGATTCCTGGCCTGGTTGTTCTTTAGCCTTCGATGACGACTCCTGGGTGTTCTCTGTTCTTCCATCGAAGCTACCTCTCTATTCATCCATCGAAGCTGCCTTCTTCTTCTTCTTCTTCTCCTCTCTCTCTATCTCNCGGTCTGGTCGTCGACTCCTGGCTTGGGTGTTCGCTGGTCTGGTCTTCGATTCCTGGCCTGGGTGTTCTTTAGCCTTCAATGACGACTCCTGGGTGTTCTCTGTTCTTCCATCTAAGCTACCTCTCTATTCATCCATCGAAGCTGCCTTCTTCTTCTTCTTCTTCTCCTCTCTCTCTATCTCCGGCACCGGCATCGCCTCTCGCCTCTTCTCTCTGTCTCTGTGTTCGTTTGTGGGTTTTACAGACGACGGTGCAGATTTTCTTTTTTGTTATAAGAAAGAACAATTACATTTATTACCCTATTACATTATAACTTTTTATTTTTAATTATACATAAGTACCATTAATTTAATTTGATACCCTTAATTATTTTTTTAATATTAGTAAATTGTATTGGTGACTTGAATAGTAGGTGGAATATTAATGAAATGTTATGGTTTTATGAGTCTATGATTTTTTTTCAAAAGTATATATATTTTGTTATTAATTATTTAAAATTGCACCGTATCTTACGATATACGATACGATATGATACACTATTTTTAAAAAACGATACACCTTTGATACACGATTTGATAACTATGGTCTTATGATACCATGGCAGGTTGAAATGCTACTAGAGCTACATTTGTTTTTCACTCTAAAATGTCCTCATGATTAAATCTTTTTGACCTTATTATATACCTATGAAAGAATTGCTGCGGTAACTTGGTACTCTATATACTTCGATACTTGTGCCTAAGCACTTGGGTCAGTAGCACATTAGAAATTGAGAATGACTTGCATTGTAGCGTGCTAGACCCTTTACTGCGTCATTAGTGTTTATGGTTGACATACTTGCTATAAAGTGATTCTTTGAATATTAGTTGTTAGTACTGGTACTTTGGACAGATGCTTTTATGTGTATTTGGTCATGCGATGAAGTTAAGTGATTGGTTGCATTTAATGAATTTTGAAAATGTAGCTGTTTATGCTGAGCAGTGTGTTCATACTTGCATGCTCTTATGGAAATAAAAAGATGTGAAATTTCTTTTTTTGAATTCTTAAAAAACCACAGATCTTTCTTTTTAGTCACAAGTTAAACCACAAAATCATTACTTATCTTACGTCGAAAGACATCCTCAGTAAAACACCTGTCTGATTTTTTTTTTTTTTTAATATTCTTGTTCTAACCGGAAAAGAACCACCTCTAAATGAAATGATGAATTAAATTTTACAGATGCATCAATTTCTCATAGTTAACGTGAAAAGCTACAAAGATAGAATAAGGAAACCTTCAAGGAACAATCAGGAAATTCAGACGATGCANTGAATATTCTTGTTCTAACCGGAAAAGAACCACCTCTAAATGAAATGATGAATTAAATTTTACAGATCATACGTTATTTGGCATCAATTTCTCATAGTTAACGTGAAAAGCTACAAAGATAGAATAAGGAAACCTTCAAGGAACAATCAGGAAATTCAGACGATGCAAATGTTTAAGTACTTCAGCTACATACACTTATTTCATTAATTGATTTCATCTCGGCATTGGGCCAACGTTTAGACAGCTAAGCCAAAATGCTCGAGAGGTGGCCTAGATCACTAGGTACTGCTTGAATGCCAAATACTTCTTTTTTGATGTTTGTGAAACCATGTACATNTACATACACTTATTTCATTAATTGATTTCATCTCGGCATTGGGCCAATGTTTAGACAGCTAAGCCAAAATGCTCGAGAGGTGGCCTAGATCACTAGGTACTGCTTGAATGCCAAATACTTCTTTTTTGATGTTTGTGAAACCATGTACATGTAAACATCAGGTGCATGTGGGGCGGAATATTAGGTGGGTACCCTAAGACTGTTGGATAACGCCTTTTTAAATGGAAAAAGAAGTCAATAAATGGCACAATGACCAAACTTAGATTTTGTACATTGCATATCTAATCATTGAAATTAAAAAAGAATTTCTTCTATATTTTCGAAGTAACATATATGGGGTTTTTTGTGTGCTCCTTTTATCTATGATGCTGGGTGTAACTGTTTCCAATTTGTGTAGTTGTGTTCTTCGGTGTAGTTCATCAGAATAATGGGACAACTGATGTCAGTGGCCTGGTTAGAAGAAGTTTTTTTGGGATTAAAGTCTCCAATCGAACCAACATAATGTTACACAAAGATTTTGTGTCTGAACAATGTCAAAACATGCGAGAAACTAATTTGGTGGTTCCAGTGTCATCAGATTCTGGCCTTTTAAATTGGAGCTGCCAAGTTTTTAATTAAGAATTGGGTCTTAATTGAGCCAATTCCAAGCTGAACTTTGGTTCTATACTCACATATAGTGGTATGGCGAAATTAGGGACTTCCAGTTGTATCAGGAATTCAGGTCATACTCGGCATTACTTATCATGAATTTTCATGAAGATTAGATGATTGTTACCATCTGATGTAGTGTTATGAAAAGTAGGTAAGATTTATTTTCAGAGTGCATGGCCATCTTTTTGGACCCAATGATCAAAGTCTTTTGATCATTTGGATATCCATCTAGCTAACTAGAAAGAAATAAAAAGCCTGTTTAAATGCTATTTTAACTTCCAATTTCCTACTACTGTTCTACTCATGAATTTGGAAACAGTACTTTTTTTTCCCCTGCTGTTGTTTACTAAGGCATCATTTACATTAGGACTGTTGGTTTCCTTGTAATTTTTCTTGCACTGATACCAATTTTCTTTCTTAATAAGTTGCATTTTGTTATTGGCAGTGTCCAGATACAAACTACTTATTTATGGGAGATTATGTGGATCGGGGTTACTATTCAGTTGAAACTGTCACAGTAAGTACAAGCTGGAAAATGATACTGTGGGCAAGTTCTTCATAAAAACAACTAGTTTTAAAGAATATTTACATATACCGGTTTGATCATATATTTACTGGGGAGAAGTTTATTTATATATCTATAAAAACAATTCTCCGAACGAATGTATGGGGATATCGAATTGCTCATGTAAGACACCATCTAGCAATTGTCAGATATGCATCTGTAAAGATTGATGCACTGTCACCTGTTTGGTATTGAGTGTTTTCCATATATTTAAATTTTTTTCCTTTTGTTTAGTGTACGTCCTTTTTGGGGTAGGGCTGACAGCAGTTAATATGCATTATGTGAAATAAAATGATGCTCAAGATTATACTAGCTGACATATGTATCACTGCAAAATTCACGATAAAGAAACACGTTGAAATGGTTGATGCAAATGATAGGTTTGTAGCTTAATAAAGTAACTATCACTCAATTCAATTCAACTCAATGAAACCTTGTGCCAAGTACTTGGGACTAGCAAACAAGTCGATTCAAGCCTATCAATTGTATTCTTTTAAACAGTAAATGTACTGAATGGTATTTTCTTGCTTTATATTATAAAGTTCATGCAGAATCAAGTTGGAGCTAGCTTGAGGATTCTTATTCTTAAATAGAAGTCCCTTGCCACCTTTCTTTTAGGGACTCATATCTCATCATGCTATTTTTGGCCTTATGAATGTTTCACATATGTTTGTTATGCTTGTCAAACATCAAGTTGTCCAAAGATCGAAAATGGTACAGCACTCTCAACTTACTTACACAGGGCAGTGCAAAGAAAGACTTCCATGCAACTTCTAAACTTATATAGCAGAATGCTAGAATTTTTTTTTTTTAACTCCCAAAACCTTGAACACTAGATGTCCTGAATTTGCAGTAACCAATTTTTTGGTAATACAGAATCTGCCAGCATTACCAGTAGCAAATTGCATCGATTTCCCATAACCCTATTACATTTCTTTTACTTTTTGATACCCTCTAATACTATAGGCTTTCTAGAACCTACTTGACCAGGCCAAAAGATAAATGAGATAGGTTTACATAGACCCGTTTTGCGATGAATAATAAAGGATGGCCTTGATACAATTTTCCGTTCTTCTTTTGGTTTCTATAAATTAGAGACTGTTTTGATCTAAATCTCTGCCCTGCTGGTATTTTCTTAGGTTTTATGCATTGATATGATCTATATACTCATTGATGCATTGTGTCATACCTTGGCTGCATCAAATACATGGTATACTACTATACTTGCGTTTATATGGAGTATGAGTTCTTAATTAAATTGATCTTCTTTCATTCTCTTTGTCATGATGTTTGGATGGAGTCGATATTGCTGATGATACCCTTTTCCCGCTTGAAACTTACTCAGTGATGCGTTTTTTAATGTCTTTTACAGTATAGTTGTTCATTTGCATTTCATTTGCAATGTTTCTTTTGGTGAGTAAAAGATTTAACTGACTTAATGCCATAGTTTTCAAAGTAATGGTAAAGTATATAATCATTAAGATAGGATATGAGCAGCAATTTGCTAAGTCAAAAGAATGTAATGATTGTATGCTAAAGTAACATAATGACCTTTATGCTATTTTTGCCTTTTTTTGCGCAACGTGCTTCACATAGTATGTAAATGAAATTTTGACCACTTGGTTAATACTAATACCCTTGTTGTATCCAGCTCCTGGTGGCCTTGAAAGTACGTTATCCGCAGCGGATTACAATCCTTAGGGGAAATCATGAGAGTCGACAGGTATTCAGTTTCCTCATTTATACTTTTTGACCCTTGTCAAAAATTGAATAGGCATTGAGTGGTCATGGTGCTTCTTGCATGTTTTATGATAATGATCAGCCTCATTTTCTCAAATCGTTGGGTAGGAAAATATTCTGTGAGCTGAAGCATTCTGGGAGCTCTAGCAGAATTTTATTAATGTGCTTGTTCTGGTTCTTTGTATGGTTATCCATTTTATGTTTAGTTTTTGTAATGCATATTATTAGTTTCTCACTTTTCATTCCTTCCTCTGAGTACCA